ACAAAACAGCTAAAAACAGATACATTTAATTGTAGAACTAATGTGCTACTTTATGGTTGTAAAGGTGTTTTTCTCTTAAGAAATTCAGTGTACTCCATGTCCTAGATGGTCATTTCTTAACACTTGACTTATTTATCCTGACTTGTTCAAATTTATCAATAATTTACTTCTTGCCATTTGAATTCTTTTAAGCAGTCTTGATTGCTTTGTGATTCTCCATATGGCTGAAAATTAATGAATTCACCATTTTTGCTTGGATTGAGACCGTTTCTCAAAGCAGAAAGTGTTCAAATTACATGCTTCAAGAATGTGAGAGATTGTATTTCTACGTTGTTGGAATAAACCTCTGTGAAGCTTTCAAATGCTAAGATTTTAGGCCTGCGTACTATTTAGGGCTAAAGTAATGAAGCAAAGATGTCAGGGCTCTTGTCTGAGTATCTTCTAGGTATTTCACTTCCATTATCTCTAATCCTCAAAACAATGTGCTAAGGTTGGTATTAGTATCACTGTTCTACAAATGAGATCACAGAGAAACAGGTTCATTTAACCAGTGAATTGTTTACTGGAGATCCCAAACTAGGTCAGTCTGAGTTTATTCTATTTACTGGGTCCTGGAAGGGTTCAGGGAGACTATCTTAGTGTGAAGGGATATATCTTAAATACAGGAAGCAAAAATGGCTGTGTTTAAGAATTCCCTTTCTTTTAACCAAAAACTGTTCCCATGCATCCTTTTATGGGCTAGGACTCAGTGGAGCCTCCTGTATGTTAGATAGCAGATACCCTAGTTTCTAGTGTTGTCAGCTTTCTGAGCAGCAAGGGTGAGGAGCCAGTCAGTATAAATCAAGTGTCTGCATTTGGGTAGATTTCTGAGGCTACAACAGGACTGTAGTATCTTTCATTTTTTTTGATTCCTTATTTATTTATTTGGTGGTTTTGGGGATTGAATCAAGGGCCTTGTGCATGTAAGGCAAGAACTCTAGCACTGAGCCTTATCCCCAACACTGTGGTATCTTTCAAGAGGAACCCAGGCAGCACCATTCTGAGTGAGAGCTCAACTCACACTTCTGTGCCAATATATTTCCAAATATTCCATTTTGTGTGTGTGTGCATGAGTGTGCATATTAGGTAGAGTTGCTTTCCTTTTGCCTCACCAAGGGGACTGATGTGGTTCAATAGATAATTGATCATCATGACCTAAAATTTAGGTACCTTCAGAAGAGTCCTTATTGAGCTTGAAGGCACTATCATTCCTAGTTTCTGATTCTCTCTGCCTCCTTCTGACAAAAAAATGATACACAATTTAAACAAACAAACAAACAAATCAAAACAAGCAACAAACAAAAGAACTTCATAGACAGTGGAAACATCTCTTTTGCACAGAAAAAGAATATTCAGCTTGAAAGAAACTAAGGATAGATTATCTGAACTGGAGGACAGGTTTGTAAGGTGGGAGTATGAAATGAAAAACTTCTTAAAATAACAAGAAAACAAACAGCAATAATACAAAGGCTAGAAGATGATAAGAGGATCTATAACTTAAGAATTAAAAACATAAAAGAAAAGTAGGGACACAAAGAAATGAACTACAAAAGCTACTTGCAGAAATAATCCAGGAGAATTTCCCTAATTTAGCAAAAGGTAAAGATACTCAGATGTATGAGGCATACAGGACCCCAGCCACTTACAACCCAAACAGAGCTATACCCAGGCATGTAATAATCAAAATTCCAGAAATCCAATATAAGAACAGAATATTAAAAGCTGTCAGAGACAAGAAACAGGTCACTTACAAGGGAACACTCATCAGAATTACAGCAGACTTCTCCGCACAAACCATCAAATCACGAAGAGCTTGGGGGGAAATAATTCAAGCTTTGAAAGATAATAACCTCCAGCCAAGATTGATATATCCTGCACAACTGTCCCTAGAAATTGATGGAAAAACAAGATGCTTCCAGGATAAAGAGGAACTAGGGGAATTTGCAACCACCAATTCAACTCTACAGAGAATACTGCAGGATATTCTAAAAAAGAGAAATACCAAGATTACAGAAACAGTGGCAGAGAGGCCACAATGAATGGAGCAGAAAGCAAAATGAAGACAAACTGACAACTAATGACAGAAAAAGAGCTCAACAGAAATGAGGCAGAGAAGGTTGGATGGTAGGAACAAGCTATTTTGGAGAAAACAAGACATCATAATAGCTAGTGCTGATTTAATATCATCTTGTTTTGAAGTCCCATCAAGCTTTTGTTCTTCTGTCTCCATCGGTCTTAACATGGTGTATCTTATTGGATTTTAGTATATGTGATAATATAAACAAAAACTTTTATAGACAAGGAGATTATGCAGAAACCATTGTTTATTTTCTGTTAGTTGATTCTAAATACCCTGTAATACTGTCATTCTCTTGAATGGTTTTACATTGTCTTGATATGTTTGATGCTACAGTATACGAAGTTATACTTAAAGATTTCAAGAAAGGAGACTCTATGGTAACTACTTTTATGTCGGAATTATCTTGTGGTGAAACACTATTTTGCTTAAATGGTTATGTTTTAACCTGTGCTGTTTTGTTGTTATGCCCTCTTTTATCTCAATCTCCTTTTTTATTATTTACTTTGTTAACTTTTTAATTAAGGGAAAAATAAATAAAAATAACAGGACATATTATAGTAACCCACTTTGATTTCCTATTAATTTGATTTGAAACCCTGTATTGCTCTCACCATCTTGTTTTGACTGATTTTCCTCCATTCTGTTTTGCTTGACAGTACTTAGTTTGAAAGTATAGGCAACAACTATGAAGACAATAAGATTCATTATGACGCCCATTCTGGTTGACTATTATCTTCTTTTGAAGTCCTCTAATGTCTCCAATGTTTTGATTTTATTGGTTATGTTCTTTAATGTTTTGTTCAATTTTATTATAACAGATGATATAGGCAATTCTTTTTAAGATAGCAAGAGGCATTGTGGTAACCATTGTTGATCACCTTGTATTTTGTTTTTACAGTATGTATTATGCCCATCCTTTTGATTTGACTGACTCTGTCCTGTTATGTCACATTTGGTTTTACTCGCTTCAAAAAAAAAAAAGTAATAAGAACTGTGGGATTAATAAAACCCAAAATGTGTAATTGTCATTGTACAAAAGAGAGGAAAAGAAAGTGCTTTAAAGGATATAACTGCATGTATATTTAAGTATATAAGATAGATAACCATATTACTGAGTTTTGTTGGATCATTGAACAGAACTGTTTACAGTCTCACTGTTTTAATGTCCATTCTATGTTTTAATTGTGTAACTTGAACAACTATTTCTAAGATGACAATATGTAATCCGTTAACTAGTGATATCCTATTGTTTATTTTTTTCTGAAATTCTGTATAACTTGTACCTTTTTTCTGTTTTTTTTCTTCTTTCTCCTTAAATAAAATTAAAAAATAAAAGAATATTCATCTTTGAGCAGTACAGAAAGAACATCTTACCTTTGAGTCAGATGGGTCACTATTTTACTTTCTCCTCTCTATTAATTATTTTATAATCCTCTAAAAGTCACTTTACCTCTCCACATCTTTACTCTTTATCTGTTCAGTATGGATAATAATTTTAACCTTATGATATGTCGTGAGGACCAGGGAGATCTGCACTCAAAGCTCCTCCATAATGCTGCCAATGAGCCCTTGGTCAGAGCTGGGCTCACTTTCCTCCCTCCCTATTGAATCTACTGACTATTATAGAAAAGGTCATTTTAGAAAGTGGAAAGATCATTCTTCCATTTATTTGGGAGCATCGAATTGCCTTGGCTTTTAAGAGTCTGAATTGTTTATTTTGTATGAGTTTTAAAAATAGCTTAGTTAGCCATGCAAGAAACACAATGATAAAAGGGTAATCTAGACTCCACCATAGATGCAGTGGAAAGAAAAGAATAGAATGAAAAAAACTAGAGAAAGATACACATAACATGCTGTATACATTATTTATAAACAGGAACACTGTTTCTACATACACTCCATGTATCTCATTACTCTATAAACTGTATATTCTTCTCAAATATGGGGCAATTTAAATGAATCATGTGGTCTATTCACCCTGCCATGTTTTATTTGTGTGTGTGATTTTTTTAAACAGTAAAATGAATAGCCAGAAACAATGACCTGCTTATTCTACAAGGAAGAATAGGAAAAGAAAGTGTGCGTTTGTGTGTTTGTATGTATATATGTGTAAATTCTACCATGATTTAGGAGATAGGGTGACTTTAACCAATTCAACCGCAGATTTATTTTTAAAACCTCTGAGTAATGTTTAGGAACCAAAATCTAATGCTAAAGACAGCAAATGGCAAAAGCACTTCCAAGCTATCTGTCCAGGAGTGGCCCTGCTCCCCTCCTGCTTCAGTCTGATTACCTCTGGGGAATGTGCTGTTCCTTGGAACGAATCAGCCCTGAACAAAATAAGAGAGGTTGAAAAGTTTAGGACGTGGAAAATATGTGGAATTTGCTCTTGAATAATGATTTGTATTTTTCTTTTGCAATAAATATGACCAATGACCCAGATAGGAGGATGGCAATTACTTAATGAATCAAACTAGAAACATAAAACTCTTCGTGATAATAACGAGAGCAATGATAGTAGGAAGCTGAGTCAAATAAACAAATATAATGCTTCATGTATCTGTAGACGTGCATTTACAAATTCCAAAGCTGTGACTGTGGAAGGGATTTCAAGTCTGATGATGCCAGTGTTCTCGGTTTGTATGTTCATTGACTTGGTTCCTCTGAATTTGGAAGTGGCAACGTTCCATGGTGACTTTCTGCACCTATCGTTAGCTAAGATTCCCAGTGTGGATGCCCAATGGCTCTGGCAATCATTTACCTTTATACAAAGAACTTTTCTCCTAACATCCTTATGTGTCTCAAAGTAAATAAGTCTCAAATCTGCTATAGCCATATAAAAATATGCTCTATTTGTTCAGTTATATATTTAAAATCTGTACTCTGTCTGAAGTTTTCCTTTACTAGTGAGCATTTTCCTCATATGTGAAATGGAATATGTTCTCCAACTTTATGGAAGAGGAAAAGAAATTGTCTTTAACAGGGGCAGGTGAGGAAGAGGCCAGTCTGTGTACATGACCGCCAGTAGAGAGCTGAATTTCACGAAGCCAGCAATGCAAACTTCTTTACCTAACAGAAGAATTGGTAGCTTTACCCTGAGGTAGGTGACTTGGGAAAGTTGCAGCCTTTCTTTCTTATAAAGAAAGGGATTGGATAAAATGGTATCAAATACTGTCAGCCTTAAGGCACTGTGAAATGAGAAAAAAAAGTTTTCAAGATCAAGAAAATATTTGAGAAACCAGAGAACTATTCAGTTGTCAAAAACAATAAAACCTCCCAAACAAGAACTACAGCTTCTGCAGCTTTACTAATTTTCTGGTCTATGCATAAATTGTAGGAGGGAAGGCATTAAGAAGTAATCTGAAGGAGGTACCTATGGTTATCCATCTTCTTCATACCAGTGTTAACTATGCTGAGATGCTTGTTAGAAATGCTGTTTCAGGGGTCACAACTCTAGAGGTTCTAATTTAGTAGGCTGAGGGTAGAATTCGTGAACCTGAATTTTAAAGACATCACAGGAGATTCTGGTAAAGGTATGATTATCATTAATTAGTAAAATTTACAGCTATCTCAAGGGCAAGGGGTTATCAGGGGCTAGCCTGATAACCTAGCCTGGTTATCAGTTTCTATGGAGGGAAAAGTCTTTTAATAGCCTGTCTCTGCTTAGGGCGGCTGTAGGGCTGACACTGCAGGTGAGAAATCTGGAACATTCCTCATGTGGAGGTTGATTCACTACCAAATGTTCAGTTTGGCCTAAAACTAACAAAACAAGAAAAGCCAACTTATTAAAAAATACTGTTTGATATGAGAACAGCTTTAGTTTCCATCCAATTAGTAGAAAGCAAAAGAATTAATTGGAAGAGGATGAAGATGAGAACAAGTTCTTATTAAATACCAAAAATGTGCCAGATATTTATATAATACATTACCCCCATAGTCCTCACTACAATCTGTAAGCAAAAATTAGCCTTATTTTGGAAACAAAAGGCCAATAGTTTTTAACTTGATCACACATTAAAATCACTTCGATGAGAGTAGGAGGACTTAGAAAAATCACCCATTTTATTCCTGGCCTCCAGAGATGGCAGTATTGTTGGCTGCCATTGACATCTTTAAAAGTACTCTGGAAATGCTATTGTGCGTGGAGAAAATTGAGTACCACTGATATTGACCAGAGTTCATAGGATTAAAACCACTTGCAAATCACAGTGCAACTCCTGTGACTCACATTATATTGTCTTGGATTTATTCTGGGAAAAACTCATGGTCTACCTAAAATTCTGAAATAGGATTGTGTTGCAAGACCTGATTTTGTCAAAAATACATTTTGATCTTAGAAACAAAATCCTACAGGGAAATTTTCCACAATAGAACTTTTAAGTTATTTTGTTGTTCCAATCATCTGAGAAGTTGACTAGAGAAATCAGTATTATCATTATGGCCATGCTTATTATGACGAAACTGAAGTCTTGGGATTTTGTAGTTCGTCATATCTTCAGTGACAAAAGTTAGAATTAGTAGTTTTTGCAGTATTGAATCAGTGGAATGTACTGTTCTTTTGATCTCAAGTTTTCTCAGTGTTCTTCAACATCCCAAGTGATTACACTTTTACTCTTTTAGGTGGTAAAGAATTATCTGTTTTCTGAAAGCAACGTACCCTCGCATTGGCGGTGCAAGCGAGCAGTAGGTGAGCCAGGAAGAAAACAAGTCAGTGTCTCCCTTGAGCCAGGCTGAGAACCAAACGTCCCACCTCCCATCCCCGCTTAACAACTGGGTGGTGTGGAGGACAGCTGCAGTTAATAGCAACTAAGACACATAAAACCACCCAGTGGTTGTATTGTTGGGTTGATTATGCTGATCTGGGGCCAGAGGTCTGAGCATCTCTCAGGAGGATGACCATATGCAATACAGCAAATACGGGGCATTTCCTTCTGCCTTCTTTTTGGAGGCAAATATTGTTTTCACTCTTTTGCTTTGTTCTGATTAATGTTTTGCTCTATTCAATATTCCGTTTTGATAGGTTTTATAATATTCTGCTTTTGGTTTGATTTTGCTATACCTGATTGAATGGACAACTATTGTGAAAATGAGATATACTATGGTACTTATTACTGTTATCCTGGTATCCTGCTCTGAAGTTCTGTACCAATTTCATTGTATCGTCTTGATCAGCGCTTTGTTCTGTTATATTTTACTACCTTAAAAAAAAATTATCTGTTTTCAAGAACCTTCTGAAAATTGAAAGAGTTTTGGCCCAGGCTGGACACTGTCGCTGGAAAAGCCTCAGCCGGAACCAAGGAGCTCTATCTCCCCCACCCCTCTACCTCTGGTGCAAACTAGTGCCAATGGGCTACCTGTGCATCCCTAATGCCCCCTCAGGCACCACCCCTAACCTAAGCTACATATAGGCCCCCATCCACGTGTTCCACAGGGAGAGATCGCCGACCCTGGGGTAGAGATGCAGCGTCCCAGGGGATCGGGGGTGTCTCTCCCCGCATTCTCAAAATAAAGGTCATTTATATTTCATACTTCTTATCTTTTCAGCCGCCACTGGTCTCCCACAGTTCTATCATAATTGGATTAAATAAAATCAATAAAAATAATTTTACTTGTTTCTTGGACTTATTATTTTTTGATGTTGGGCGAGGTATATGCTGAGAAAGTGTTCTATCACTCACTACCTCCCAGCCCTGGTATTTCCTTTAATGTAGTTACTTGAAGACTTACATTTGTACACATGTAAATTGCATTTTATTTATATTGGTCTGGGCTGCTGTAGGTAATGTAGGAGCAGAATGCTCTCTACAGGCCAGTGCTTTGACTCTCAAGGAAACCAAAAATCAAAACAAAATGAAACACAAACCAACCAGCCAACTAGCCACCCCAAATCCCTGCTAGCTTCTGCTCTAGATTCTGACTACTCTGTATTCCATAGATAAGCAGCACTGGCACTACCCAAAAGCTTGTTAGAAATGCAGAAATTCACATTTGCACCTAGACCTACTGAATTAAGATCTGCATTTCACTATGATCCCTCACTGATTCACACATGTTAAAATGAAGAGGCACTGGTCCAAAGACAGCAATCATCAAAAGACAGAATAAGACTCTAAGTCACATTACTAAATATTTTGTATCATTTTAAGTAAGAGGGCGGGAAAATATTCAATTTAAAAAATACTATTCTGGAAAAATCATCCTCTGAATTTACACTATGCCTGAGATGAATTGAACTCAAAGAGATCAAGGCAAGTGTTTTGATTTGGTTCAATGATTTTCAAGCTTTTTTTTTTTTTACTATGAAACAAGAAATATATATTTTTTATATTCAGTACATGTATAGATACATTTAATTGAAGTGAATGTCTCACATAATAATGTTCTTGTTTACTAGAGACGTGCTGCCACATTCTATTCTGTTCTGTGCTATCCTACCCATCCCATCCCATCCCATCTCACCCCATCCCATCCCATCTCATCCCATCCCATCTCACCCCATCCCATCCCATCTCATTAAATTCTATGATATTTCTAAATATAATAAGCATCTGGTACTAACCTAACTTTACCACTACCAGTAATCATAAAATTGGTAAAATATATGAGGGCAACTGTTTTGGGACAGGTAGACCTTAGAAAAGAAAGCTTATGAGATGCATACTGCGTTACCCAACTTGTGCCTAAGAATAAATTCCTCATGGTGGTACAGAGAACTGGAATCTGAGCTGAGCTGAGCGTGATAATTCCAGTGACCTGAGACCATGAAGATTGGAGTTTGGGATAATTGAAATGGCTGGAATGTGTGAGTGGGACACAAAGAGCCTTCCAACAAGAAGACCAGGAGTCTGTGTTGGAGTCACTTGTGAGCTTATGGCTGAGGACTGGGATATTCATGTGCAGGGTGAAACCACCTGAAACTGATTAGACAATAAGGCTGTAAGATTAGGAACAGAATAGATAGATAAAGGCTAAGCATCTTAGAAAAGGGCCTGTCAAACAACATGGAAATTTCAGCCTTGTCAGAGAGGAAACATCACAACTTTCATACTCTTGGAAAACAGAAAAGACATGTATGACTGACTCTAGAGTTGTCCTAATAAAACCTAAAACCAAATCCCTAAAGTCTTCAGTGGAGTCAAAAATGAGAGGACACTGGTCTAGATGGTTTTGGCCACAAGTTGCATTTTTCTCTCATCTCATCAGCTTGACAAACTCAACCTTGACAGAGGATTATGGACAGAAAAAATTTAATCAGCTCTCAAATCTGAGGTTGAAAGAGAACGCTCAAGTGCATATCCTATGAAGCCATAGGATAACCATAGTAACATGAAGTCATAGTAAGACATAATTATATGAAAGGTATTAGTTGATACTCAAATCACCTGTCCATTTATTCCTTTTTTCATTAAGTAATTTCTGAAGAGATTGTGGTATCTGATATTGAGCTGGCACTAAGAATACAAAGAAAGGAAAGGTGATTCCAGTTCTCATGATGCATGAAACAGCAAATGTTTATTCTGGTAAAACATTCCAATTGATAAGCACCTTTGTACTTTGTAATTTCCTTTTATCTTTAAAGAATAATTTCAGAGTCATATCGTTTCTTGGAGTTATAAATGTGGTTTTCTTTCCTACTACTAAAATCTATTGATTTATTATTTTGGTAATATCCTAAGATAATTATTTAGGTGTTTCTAAAATATTCTTCTTATCAGAATGGAGAACACAGAAATAGATCCATCTATCTGCAGTTCAGTTGATTTTAAGCAAAAATGCCATGAACACACAATGGGGAAAAGACAGTCATTACACTAGGCATCCCTAGAAGAAGGGATCTCCATGCAGAAGATTGGAGTAGATGTTTATCCTTCACCATCCACAAAAATCAATTCAAAACAGATGAAAGTCTTAAATGTAAGATCTGATGCTATAACTACCAAAAGGAAACAAAATATTCCAAAACAGTGCTATGGATGAAGATATTTTTTGAATAAGATTCCAAAAACGCAGACCAAAAAAAAAAAAAAAAAAAAGACAAATGAAATTACATCAGATAAAATGCTTCTCACAGAATAGGAAATGATCAACGTAATGAAAAGACAGCCTATAAAATGAGAAAAATATTTATAAAGTACTCATCTTACAAGAGGTTAACATCCAGAACCAACTCAATAGAAAAAAATCCAACTAATCTGATTTTAAAATTCACAAAAGACCTGAATAAATATTTCTCAAAACAAAATATGTTTGTTGTTTATTTCTGCATTATTATACAATCATTTACATTTAGGTTTAACTGCAATATACGTCTCACATTTTTTACAACACAGCTAAGATAGTTTGCATGGTTGTTTTGTGGTGCTGGAGATTTTTGATTAATATTTTTATGGTGTTTCACATAAGATGGATTTATTCTGTGTTCTACATAAGAAAAATAAAAAATAAAAAATAACTCAGAATATGTCAGCTTCATCGATGTGTAGCTAGGGTTGCACATACTAGCAGATTCCACGGTAAGAAAGCCTATGTTTATTATCATTAATTTTTTTGTCTTTTTCCTTTTTTTATTGGTATCGGGGATCGAACTCACAACTGCCTGCTTGCAAGGTAGGTGCTTATGCCGCTGAGCTAAATCCCCAGCCCCTATTATTAATTATTAAAACTCTGTTGTACGCAAAGTATAGTAGGAGTTGTAGTCTATGTAAAAATAATAGACACAAGCTCTTCTGTCTGTGATCTTTCAGTGATCTTTCATAGGGTATATGCAAAACAGATATTATTTAAGCTGGAAGAACCTTTGGGAAACAATTCATTATCAGTAGCACTCATTTTTATTCATTTTATACTTTTTAGATAAACTCACTTGAATCTTACAATCATGTATCTTACAGTGTACAAGCCAATATGCCACCTTCTCTAAGGAAGCAGTGTGTAAAACTAAAAGGAATGTGGTCTGTTGAAAAATAATTTCAAGGACATCTCCTGTGGCTCTTTGAATTCTCCCAAATTCTTATTTTTTTTCACTATGGTTTAATTTTGGTTGAAGAGATAGCTTAAAATACAATGTTATGAAAAAATATTCTTACAGTTATTTAAAAAACCTGTGCACTTGGTTTCCCTATCTCTTTTTGTCTCCATATGCAGTGGGACTGCTTGTCACAAATTTTCATATCCATGGAGATAGCATGAGGTCCTCAAGTACTACAGCTTTGGTGTTAAGCACTCAAAAGGAATATAAATTGCCTAGATGTTGAATCTCAATCAATTTTGCAGCTTTCATACTTACGAAAAGGCCGTGGATTTGTAGCATATAAGAGAGAAGATGATTTTACTTTGTTGAAATAATTCAAACATCTGCTTCTTACTTTGAATAGATTCTGATTTGTGTGCCTGTACAAACTTGATAGCTATAAAACTGTCAATGCCATATTTTGAAATTCTATTCTTTCTTTGCTTTAGGGAGCTCCAGAATCTAGGAAATGACTAATGATATTGCCTGAGATAGATTTTTCTCAGTTCTTGCATCATCAATTTTTGTTTGTGACTACATGGTAACAACCATAAAAATAGAGACTGAGTGTCCATTGTTGGGAGCTATCCTACTTTCCTGTGTTATAGCAGCAAGATCTAGCCATGTGTCAGAATGTAAAGAAAACTTATGCCCTCTATGAGCATCACGGTGATTCAGCAATTTGGCCTTATGCAATAGAAACAAAAAGAAGAAAACTAGAGTATTCAAATTCAGAGTCAGGGTGCTGTGGGTGGGGATCTCCCTAACCAGGGAAGTTAAAACTTTAAGCTCACTAGCGCACCTTTAGCAAGAGTGGTAGGACATTTGAATGGTATGTTTTGGCTTGATCAGTGCTGTTTTGTGTTTACAGGAGCAAGTCTTAAAGGAGAAATCCACTGCTCTTTCGTTTTGCCTGATACCCTTTACTGCCTTTCCTCTAGGAACGGCGTGCCGTGTATGTTTCCCCATGTTGGTGACCGCGATGAGCTGTGTTGGAGTTCTGTAGACTTTTATTCTCACTTTAGATCTGTTTCGATTCAGGGTTTGCAAGTCATCGTTTCTTCTCTCAGGAAGTATCTGCAGCTTTGCTCATTCTGCCTTCTATCCTTTGCTTTCTCATTCTATGGTGGCTTCTACTATTTAGGCTATAATTTAAGTCCTGTTTCATAAGCAGATTACTGTGGGCCCAGATGACAGAAGAATCTCTCTAAAGGGCACACTTAATACAGGAAATGTGGTTAATGATTCAGTAGGCGAAACTCTTACTTCTGACTCACCGTATCACCTAATAAAATACTATGTTCACAAGGGAGATTTAGTAAATATTTGTGGGCCAATTATTATACCACTGATAAATCCTGAGCATAAGGCAAGTGCCATTTAGAAATCATCTACTTTAGTTCTGAAGATTAGAAATTAGAAGCACCAAGAAATCCAATGATGTGTCTGACATAGTATGCAAAGGACTTTGCAATGGTAACATTTCTATTGATAATCCTAGTTTATGTCCCTGAATATTTTCTTTTGCCTCCATTTTTCTTACTTTAAAAACAGTTATATTATGTCATTAAATATACTTGCCTTTGCAAACCATATTACATAGT